CGAATACAAACAAACAGTGAGTGAAATAAACCACGCTATCGGACTGAACACAACCAGTGACGTCATCAATCCATTTCGCTCGGTACCAGGGCCCGGACATGGTTTTGTGTAAAATTTTTGATTTGAACGGTTAAAAAAGATATCTTTCGCTTCTTTTTGGCCAAAGCAAATTATCTCATGACGATCAGCGTATTCAAAACTACAGGTTAGACCAAATATTTCAGATACGAAAATTTCGTTTCAGTAGCACTTTAAGGAAGTTTAATACATTGGTCTCGCTACCCCTAAGGTAGCGGTAATGACTAGTTACTAGATAGTCTGCATTTTGCACAATTGCTCTGGACCGGGTTGATCAAAGCTGCGTTAAGATAACCCAGGATTAAAGTGAAATCTGATCTCAGATCTGAAAGCTTAAAAGAAAATTCAGTATGGTTCTTTTTGTCTAGACTTTGATGATTGGATGCTCTAAAAATAATGTAGAAATCATATACCAAAAAGGTTTTTTTGTCACAAAGGAATAAAGAAACCCAGGTTAAAATTAACCCTGGTATAGGGCTAATCTGCCTTTCAAATAACTGGGTCCCACTGGTTATAGAGAATTTGTGTCATAACCCACTATAATCACCTCATGCAAGGTGTTACGTAGGTGTTACTGAGGAATTGTTGGATGTGATAAAGAAACTTCAATTTGGAACATTTTTCTTGCTATTCTCCTGTTATAGTACTTTCTACTGAAAACTCTTAATAACTCTTAGACAAAGATTTCTGAGGGCATTTTGAAAAAAAAATTTAGCTAAAAAATTTTCAAAGAGCTGCGAATTGAAGACCTACTGTTTATTTACTATCATAACGATATTTGGTAACTTTGTATTTTGATTGTAATGCCGTTGTGAGTTAAAACTTTTCAATGTAATGTTCTTTCCAGGATGCTGGTCTATATTTGAAAAGTCTTATACCTCCAGTGTTGACCTGTTTCTATGATCAAGACAGTAGGGTTCGTTATTATGCCTGTGAAGCACTTTTCAACATTGCCAAGGTTGCAAGAGGCTCAGTGTTACCATTTTTCAATGATATATTTGATGGGCTGAGCAAGGTGAGTCAAAGTTAAACTACAGATAGTCAACAGCAAAAATGCCCTTAAGACATGTGCTTTGATACACACTTTTTTGGGGGGGGGGGGGTGAAACATGAAAAATGTGTAAAGCTTTTGCATGTGTGCTAGCAATTAACTTTTAAGCTGTAATGCAGTTAAAGCTTCTATAATTATAATAATAGTTTGGGCTAGGGGTTTCTTTTCACTTGTCACAATGGATGTTTTCCGTGGTACCAAGGAGGAAACATATAGGGATTATGAAATATTGTACAGATTAAAGTCCTACATTGGGTGATTGAATTTTGTCAGTTCATAATGGATGTATAAGTGGTAATTGAATATGCAATTTTGTTCTGAAATAATTTTTGCGATTTCAAATCAAACTGAAACTGCATGCTCATCTGATTTTGAAATCACACGTATGGTTTCAGACCAAATTGCACTGCACTCAGTTTGATTACCATAATCAATTGCACCCTAAGTTGGCAATTATTCCATCATGTTTATCTCTAATTAAAGTTAAACTGAGATTAACAATTAATATGTTTTTAATACCTGTTGGTTGTGGGAATGTTGAGCCCTAAGTTGTAACTTACAGGAACCTCTAAAAATGCTTCAAGGGGAAATGGGTTAAAAGGTTTAGACTACTGTATACCTTCATGTTATATCATGTGTCCATCATGCAGGTAGGGTTAGATGCACTTCTTTTAAACTTAGATCTCATGTTTTTTTCTTTCAGCTTGCTGCTGATCCTGATATGAATGTAAAAAATGGAGCTGAGCTACTTGACAGATCAGTTAAGGTACCAGTAAACCTTTTCACCCCAGCATCGTTCAGTATACCGTAAAAGCCTGCAGATAAGCTGCACCCTGAATTTAACAGCTCAAATTTTGGAAAAAAAGTATTTTGAAAGAATTCAAAAGAAATCTGAAGTCGAGTCTTGAGAAGTCTTCTTCATCCACTGTTCGATTTGAACGTAAACTCAGTAATAACATTGCAACAGAAAATACTTCAAAGTCTTACCCACAATTTTTAGCATCTTAATATAATGAACATGTTTCTATCAGCTTTGACATCTGATTGGTCTTATTCTGGGATTTGTTGACAGGAATTTCTTCACTCAACACAGTCTTTCCCTAGATTTTTGCATTACAACAAGAACACAAGCAGAACATTAGAAGCTTAGTAACCAGGCATTAGATCGGCCGCGAAAATGGAAATTGGCATCCGCATTCATGACACCTTTTTCAAATGTTCCTGCAGATAAGCCACACCCCTAATTTCTAGCGACGACTTTTGGGAAAAAAGTGCGGCTTATACGCGGGCTTTTACAATATATATTCTCCATGGCCTTCTCTGTTTATTTCTAGTGGTATTTACAAGGAGAATTTGTTTGACAATCAAGAGGTTGTTTAGTTGGCAACCATTTCTTTTATCCCTCTTACTCAAATGTTTGATATAGCAGTAGCACTGTAAGGGGAATTCAGATATTAGTCACTTTTAGTATATACTAAAACAGTGGATAGCACTGAAGGTGCGCCCTGATTGGCTAGTCAAACTCCGAATATCCTTTGCTATTTACCTCCGAGCAACTCTGGAAAAAATTGTGTCCCGGTTTGCATCCTTGACAAGCGAAGAAATCACTCAAATTAACAATGGTGGTGTATATTATCTCACTGTTTTAGTATAATTATACTAAAACGACTATTCACCTCAGTGTCGGTGGTTAGCAGTGGATATCGCAGCTCTGTAAATATCCACCACTAACCACCTCCACTTCGGTGAATAGTTGTTAATTATGCATCAGAGGGTTAACCGAGAAGTAGTTCACTAGCTTGTAACTTCTCTTGAAAGAAAATATGCGGCAACTCTTTGTTGAAGGATACGCTCAGCCACTTGAGGTTCGAATTTTGTCCTTTTAATGTTGAGAACTTCTTTCACCTCGGTTCAATAGTAAGTTTTTCTTGTTTTTAGATTACAACAACAGTAAATGTAATGAAGAACAAAGAAAATGAAAGTGAAACTGGTCTGAAAAAATTTGAACAGAGAAATATCTGAACCCGGAAGTGAGAAACTTATCCCTTAACCTCTAGTTAAAGACCAAATTCTCTGATTAACTAGTTTTGAAAGAAATGTGTAACAGCAAGGTGTGGAAACTCTAACTAATATCTTGTGAGTATTGGGGTTAGGAGAAGAATAACACAAAAGTTTACTGGTAAATAGACTGAATACTACCAGATAAACTTGTACTTCTACTGAAGATGGTGAAAATGAACTAATTGACCACTACCATTAACTGGCTACTAAGTTTTTTTTTTACTAAGTTTTTTTTTTATGTTCTGAGTTTTTTCACCCTTGAATAAAAATGCAAAGGCCAAGAGAATAAATGGTTAAGATAATCATCAATTTAAGAAGCTCTTGATCTTCAAATGAATTCTAGGAAATGTAGAGATAATTGTGTGAAGAATATGAAGAATGTTAGGTTGTGAAGGTGTTCTTGGAAATCACAGTTACATTGTACAGTTACCGGTATATGTGCCATGTTAAGAATCTGAAATATTCTATTTCCTCTGCAGGATATTGTGACAGAAAGCTCCTCATTTGACCTAGTTTCCTTCATTCCATTGTTGAGGGACAGAATTTACACAGCCAACCCATTTGCAAAACAATTCTTGGTCTCGTGGGTGAGTACAAAGGTCTTATACCACTGCTAATTAGGAGATGCATACATCTTATTGAAAAGTTGAACTGAGATATGATATGATTTGAATATAAAATTGACTCTGGGCATGTGTTCTTTATTCAGTTGATGGTGCTTGATGCTGTTCCAGATTTGGATCTTGTTGCACATCTTCCAGAATTCCTTGATGGTCTCTTCAACATTTTCAAGGACCGCAATCCTGAGATAAGGAAAATGTTAGTTGTTATATTGTACATTTAAAATAATTATAGCCATTATGAAACCTGAGTGTTAAAAGTAACTTATGAATTGAATGGAAGACATCAAGGAGAATAACTAATAATATTTTGGGAGTGAAAGGGTTTCAGTACCACTCAGGTATATATATCTTATAAGACGTTTTGTTGTGTAGTATTGCTGAGTATTTTTACGAGTTGTGCTGTATTTTGACGAGCCTATAGGGTGAGTGGAGGAACGTAACGAGGACGAGCCCATAGGGTGAATCAAAATACAAATAATGAGTAAAAATACTCAGCGATACTACACAACAAAACATCTAATAAGTTATTTATTATCCAACACGCCAAACTGTTATTTCAGTGCGGGCGAATTTCGCGGATATTTATTTATGGGTAGTGCATGACAGAAGTATGCGAAGCGGAACAGAATTGGTGCGTTGTTGTGTTGCTGTTTCTATTTTCTTCAATAAATGAAGAAATTTCCAGGTTGTCTAGCTGTCTTTCTTCGTTTAATTTATCCAATAAACTTGGATGTATATTTGCCAGCCATTCTAACTCTTCGTCGTCGGAAATATGATTTAAATTGTCCGCCATTTTTTTTATTTGTAACTACAATTCAATTCTTTGCTTGCACGTTGCGAGAAAACCTGTTTAACCCGTACTCTAGAGTACAAATACTACGTGATATTTGTACTCGTCTATGGCGTTATTTGTACTCTATGAAGTGTAGTTGGATAATAAATGTTAATTGCACAGACACATTTTTTATGCTCAGACCTAGGGTACTATGATTTTTATGTACACACAAACAAAAGGCATGCATGACTTATGTGTCTTTGTTATTCAGTGCTCTTAAGTTTCCTTTGTGATACATTGCTGTGTTAGTAAAACAAAGAACTTTCGGGTTTGAAAAAGGTGGTGACTGTTCTGTTTTGTAGGTGTGAAGCTGCACTTGGTGAGTTCCTGAGAGGAATCAAGAGGGAAACCAAGAATGTTAATTTTGCTGACATGGTCAATATTTTGGTTATCCATTCACAGTCAGAGGGTAGGATCATTTTGAAAGTTTCTATCTGTGGAACCTCAGTTACTAGACAGTCTTGATGATGTTAGTAAGAACACAGTTATAGAAAAGTTTTTTCTTATCTTTCCAGATGAGGTCATTCAATTTACTGCTATTACTTGGCTGAGGGAGTTCATCACACTATCAGGACGGACTCTGCTGCCCTTTAATGCAGGAATTTTAAAAGCAATATTGCCTTGTATGGCATATGATCAAGATAAACAGAATATCCTTTAGTGATAGCACTGTTATCGTGGCTTTGTGTGAAGACTCTCTTTCTTCCATGCCTATCTGATTAACATTCTTTTTCCTGTGGGGAGGACAGGAAGGAGGGGGGGTGTGGAAGGGAGGGAGAAACCTCACTTTTCTCCCTTGCCTTTTGCACTTTTGACCGTCATGTCCTTTTGTGAATTACTCTATATGCGGGAAGGACACAGAATGGGATAGGGAGAAACATTTGCTTCCCTTATCTCTACCCTCCCTTTGCCTTTTGCCTCTTTAACTCTCATGTCCTCTTGTAAATAGCAAAACTTTGTGCACTCCACCTTGACTCTCCAATTTCTTCCACCCCACCTGCTCATCCCCTCCCCCTTTTTCCCTCTACTTACACCTGTGTCTGCTTCAGTTTTCCTCTGGTGCTGCTATGGTAGAAGTCAGCAAAATCAGCCTTGAACTTTCTTAGTGAGGCTGCCTTTCAAGGATATGTATTTGGCCCACGTGCCAGGTAATGTTGACAGGTGCAGTGTACCTCTGACCATTTTAAACTTAGTTAATCATGAATCAAAGCTCTGTCCTTGACAGTTTTTCACATATCAAAGAAGTGGCCAAGACAGTCAATCAAAGTCTAATGCGACTAATCACAGAAGATGACGACAAGGATGTTGATAGTGACACTGTGTCTATGGATTGCGACAATGACTTTGTACAGCCTCAAACTCAAACTCAGCTGGATCTTGGTCCAGTAGTAAATGTACTAACAGTGCAGTTGTCACACAAGTCTATACAAACCAGGATAGCTGTATTACGATGGGTGTTATTGCTTCACATGAAGACACCCAACAAGGTGAGTCTAATAATCATTCTGGATTATTCAGCCCCTTTGCCCTTCAAGATCTCCTTCATAATTCTTCTTACTGTCTGCTTTACAATTCTTATATAATGTTGTTTTGAGAATTTGGTATTGGATCAACAAATGTATGGTATTGATATTCTAAGGAGAAATTCTGTCCTGGTCACTAACGTTATGTATGTCTGTTAACCCTTCAATTCGCAAGATATGATTTTTATTTTTCCCTTCTAGCAGCTACACATTTTCTCATCAATTAGTCACGAGTTTGGTGTTAGATAGTTCAAAATAACAACCTCTACCTGATAAGTTTGAGTATTCTCGTGACCTGTTTGCTAGATAATGTTTGGATAAAATTATTATAGGGAGAAGTAGCATGTTAGTCACCTCTGGGAATTATAGTAATGATAATAATAATAATAATAATAAATGTTTATTCACAATCAATAAAAAGTGAAAAGGAGATAAAAGAGGTTATCCCTTTCAAGTGTATCTCCTGATAAAATAGAGTACAACATTAATTTAGATACAACTATATAATTTATATAATACATCAAAAATGAGAACTCAGTCAATTCTTAAAAATATTCAAGTTTGCTGCCTCAGCAACTTCCTTTGGCAGATTATTCCAGCTATTAATTATACATATAAAAAATGAATATTTAAAACTATTTAAGGTCGCTGATGCAAACTTAAGTTTAAAACGGTGATTGGCTCTTAAAGGCCAAAAATTGTGTACAATCATGAAAAATGCTGAGGGATCAAGTCCATTAAGTCTATTTATTGTCTTATAACACTCAGTGAGTGATGAGAATAATCTTCTTTACTCAAATGTTGGCCATTTAAAAAGTTTCAAGCGCTCTTCATAGGTCATATCTTGCCCAATTTTTTTTAGGGGCTGCTAATATTTTTATTTTGAAGAAACTGTGTTGGTAGAGACTTAGTCTTGTACATTTGACTTTGTAGCCCTGTGATCACACTTCAATATTTTCAAAAAGTATATTTATTTAGTAATCAAACCAAGGATTGAATTTGATGCCAGAGTCAGTTATAACTTCCTCTGTGGTATTTAATGGGTGAAATGAGAGTGACATGATGCTTGTAGTGGGGAAGAATCTTGGCTTTTATACTGGAAATGGTTGCTTCAGTCTTACAGTTGTGTAAGGTGTTTCTAGAGCCTGGGCATTTCTAAATTTGTGTGATGGTGCGTTTACACTGAAATGTAAAATATGTTGCAGATATTTGGTCAAATTGAGCAGCTTTTCCCAGAACTTTTGAAGACCTTGTCAGATCCATCAGATGAGGTAAGAGGGGCCCAGTGGGGTCACACTTGACTCTGGATCAATAGTTAAAGTCTTGTCAATGTGTAAATGAAAGTATATAATACTTGCATTTTTCTTTAGGTTGTTCTTCTTGTCCTAGAAGCACTTGCAGAGATTTCAGCCTCTCCAGCTGGTCCTCCGAGGAACAGCCCCTCTCAGAGCATATCCGAAGGAAGCTCCCCAGGCTCGGAGCAGAATGCTGCCCCTCACAGGCAGCTCAATAAATACTTTCATAAGTTCATGAACAATGTCATGTCACTTTTTAGAACTGATAGGAAACTTTTGGAGGAGAGAGGTTCTTTTATTTTAAGGTAATGCTTATTTTTTTAGGGAAATCATCAGCTGAGTAGGTTGTTGATGTAATGTGAACAGTTTGGCAAAAAAAAGGTTCATCCTCGGTGTAAAAACCTGACGAGGTTTTCTTTGTTTCATGAGGTATTGTTTTGCTGTACGCTATTGTTTATAATGTTTTGTTGTCTTTGTTTTACGTCACTCGTGAGCTTCACTGGTTTTTACACCGAGGATGAGCCCAAAAAAATGATCGAATTATGTGAACATTGCAAAGTGGCTGTTATCCGCCCAGCAATTGTCCATTTTTGTCACATTCTACTCATACTATAAGCCTGCCCTTTGTTGTGTGTGAGATATTGTTAATAATTTGGCTTAGAATTAATAAAGTATGTGGAATAGCCCATCCTTTCTCCCCATTAACAATGTACTGTGCTGGGGACCTTTTCTTGAAGGTCCTGGCAACTTAACAAGCCCAAAAAGCAGTTCTGTTTTCATTCATGATGTGGGTTTCAAAAGGTTTAAAAATATTGAATAAAGAAACTAGATAGCTGAAGAAGTTACAGCTTTATCTTAAGAAACAAAATGGACTGGCTAGGGTGTGAGAAACTGCTTCTCTGTTCCTAAAAATATTGATTTTAATATGGTTTTCAGCCCATTCAGTGACTGACTTTCTAGAAATGGGCCCTAATGGTTTGTTGTGATTAATTTTTTTGCAAAAGTGTGGTGATAATTACTAATTATTGAAGCTTAGTTACTCATTTATCTCTTTGAGAAGCCAAACTGTTTCTGTCCAATGTCTTAGTATTTTAGAACACTAAGAGTTCTTAGGCTTAACTGGTGTCTTTTTTGTTCTTTTTCTTTGTACAGACAGCTTTGTCTTTTGTTAAATGCAGAGGACATATACAGAGCAATGTCGGAAATACTCCTTCAAGAAAATGACTTCCAATTTGCATCACTAATGGTGCGGTATTTGAATATGATTCTACTCACATCCAGTGAATTGTTTGACCTAAGAGATCAGCTGAGGGAGCTGGCAACAGCAGTAAGCATTTTAGTTATAAAATTTTTTACTATAATTATTATTTATATTTATTTATTATAATATTTTAAACTTATCTCATAATTAGGATATATTTAGCTAGTGGGTGATTAACTGTGATTATGATATTCATATGTTTCCAGGAGAGCTGTTCTCTATTCTGCTGTCTATACCAGTCTTGGTGTCATAACCCTGTGGCAACAGTATCCCTGTGTTTACTTACACAGAACTACCAACATGCCTGTGAACTGCTGATGATCTTGTATCCTTATTATGCCCAGATAGTAACTGTGGAATCATTTGTCTGGCCTCAGTCTTGCTCCACTCAGTAGTTTGAACAGGTCAGAAAACCGATACAGAAAATAAATGAAGTGGGGTGGAGAGGAGGTGTGTGTATGTGTGTGTGTGGGGGGGGGGGAAGGGGAGGGGATTGGAGGCAAGGGAGTTTGGAGTTACCCTGTGATGGACTACACACTTTACACACTTTATTTTCTTTTTCTTACAAAATAATTTAGATTATGTTGACCCGCAGATAGCAAATTTGCTATTCGAGGCGGGTCAATCATCAACAAACATTATTTACAATATATAAAGAAAATTAAAAACTAAATAATTAGATATTGTTAAATTATAAAAAGAAGCATAGCTGGCAAATACATCAATAGTTGTTCAATAAAGTATAGAAGCAAATACATTAGTACTGAAAGCAATCGGATCAATTTGTTTTAATTATGCAGTCCTTAAGTTTAGAGGAGATCTTTTCAACATCAAGATAAGAATCTTCATTATCTAGTATCTGAAATAAAGACGTTTTAATTTGTTTATTAAAGGAATGTTTTGATAACGTTTTGAATTCTTTCGGTATCTTATTCCAAATTTTGACACCAACACGCGAGAAAGCCTTTTTTTGTAGGTTAAGTCTAGAGTACTTTGTACTAAAGAGCTGCGATTTGGATGATCGAGTATTGTAGGTATGAATATGAGATGTTTTAGTAAATAGTTTCAAAATATTAATGGGAGCCCTCTGGTTGTGCACGTCAAACATAAGTTTACTTACGGCTTCATAATATAGGAACGTAACAGGCAGAATTTTTGCTTTGGCAAATAAAGGGATGGCATGCTCTCTTCGATCGGTGAAATAGATTAAGCGCAAAACTCGCTTTTGAAGAACTAAAATCTTGTTTAAATAAGCATTTGACGCATTGCCCCAGGCAAGGAGTCCATAAGTTATATAAGGTAGAATTAATGAATTGTAAATATTTACAAGGATAGTAGAGGGAACGAAGTACCTCAGCTTTGCAATCATCCCTATTGTTTTACTTATTTTTACGATAACAGAGTCAACATGGTTTTTCCATGACAAATTTTGATCAATTAAAACGCCTAGATATTTGATATAACTTTTTTGCTCTAAACTAACTCTTCGGTTTGTCTCACAATCTAAAATACCTATTTGTGGAGAAAAATGCATTTTTTTCTGATGAGGACGAAAAATTAAGAAATTTGATTTTTTTGTATTCAATGTCAACCTATTTGTAGTTAACCAGTCATGTACGTTATTCAACTCTACATTAACCGTTTGCTCGATCGCCTTAAGATTCTTATCAGCATAAAGTATATTAGTATCATCCGCAAAGAGATAAAATTTTAGTTTATCAGAACAAAGGTGAATGTCATTTATGTAAAGTAAAAATAGAAGAGGTCCAAGGACTGATCCCTGGGGGACACCACAGGGGGAGATAAGTTTTGTTGATAAATGCTCTCCAATCTGAATTGTTTGTGTTCTATTTTTTAAATATGATTGAAACCAGTCATTTATCAATCCACGGAAACCGTAAAAGTTCAATTTATCGAGTAATATTTCATGATTGACCGTATCAAATGCCTTTTTCAGGTCAATAAAGACACCGCATGAGAAGTACCGTTTATCCATATTACGTAGTATATCTTCGACAATATCAAGTACTGCATGCTCTGTGGAATGTGACTTGCGAAAGCCATACTGTGAGGAGTACAATAGGTTGTTTTTGTCAATAAATTCCTTCATCCGGAAGTACAAAAGTTTTTCAAAAATCCTATTAAAATTAGACAAAAGAGATATTGGTCGATAGTTTGAAGGGTCGGTCTCGTCGTCACTTTTATATATTGGCGTTATTTTAGAAATCTTAAGTTTTGAAGGATAGACACCAAGGATAACAGATAAATTGAAAATATAAGAAAGAACTGGAGATATGATATTGCAAGAAGATTTAAGCAGTTGTGTAGGGCAGGAGTATAAGCCACAGGATTTATTATTTGGTAGGGATAATATTTCCTGTTTAACTTCTTCTGGTGTAATGGGTTTGAAAAAGAAGGAAGAATCAGGTGATTTCAATTTACCAAGATAACTCATATAGTTATCTTTCTTTGGCAATTTACTTGCTAGTAAATTACCAACATTTGCAAAATGCTTATTTAGAATATTTGGTAATCTGGAAGGATTTTGTGTTATTTGATTGTTATTGCTTGGGTCTTTCAGCTTCGTTAACACTCTGCTTTTTGTCCTTTGGTTATTTATTAATTCATTTATTACTTTCCACGTCTTTTTCATATTATTTGTATTTTTCTCAAAGAAATCATAGTAATAACGTTTTTTACTCAAACGAATAAGGTTTGTAATTTTATTTCTATAATATTTATATTTACTATGTATTCCATTAACATATAGCTTGTTCTTTATTTTTATTGATGTCCTTATTCCTTTTGTTATCCACGGTTTTGCAAGTTGTTTAATTTTACGTTTGGATAAAATTTTAACAGGCGCATGGTTATTCACGACTGAATTTAATTTTCTGTAGAAAGATGAGAATAGTTCATCAATATTATTTGTTTTTGAGGCAATAATAGCATCCCAGTCGATCGCGGACAAATCATTTTTAAATTCCTCATAGGAGAATTGAGAGAAGTCGCGTTTTTTAATTGTTTTCTTGATAGGTTTGTCTCGCTTAGATTTCAAAATACAAAATTGAGAAAAATGATCAGAGACATCGGTAATAATGTTTCCACTAATTAGAACTTGATCAGGATTATTAACGAAAATATTATCAATAAGAGAGGCTGAGTTATTACGTACGCGTGTTGGCTTGTCAATAGTTGGAACAAGATAAAAACTTTGTAGGGCCAGTAGGAAATCCTGACTATATGAAGATGATTCCGTCTTTAAAAGACATAGGTTAAAGTCACCCATTAAATAAAGTTAATGGACTAGTCACTTTATGCAGCAAAACTTAAGATTGGCAGTGTGATGGGTTTGACTGGGGTATAGGTGTAAGGAACAACATCAGATAATTAACTTTTTCCCTTGGGTATGGCAAGATTGTTCATAACACTTTAGAGATTGGAGAATTTTGATAGCCTTAGCTATTTGTAGTCATACATAGAGAATAGTCTCTTGTTATCTTGCACTATCATTCAGCCAGTCATTTCTTAAATAGGAAAACCCATCATTACCAACATTTTCAAGAGATCTCCTTGACTTTATTTCTATCAGTGGACATCTTGAGGTAAATGTAGAGTTTCTCATTCAGATTGATAAACTGGTTCAGCTTATCGAGTCTCCAATATTCACATGTGAGTAATACCTTTTGTATAAATTTCAATTATTAAATTAAAATAAAATGATCTTGAGTGTTGAACCCTTACTGTAACGAAATGATTTTAATTAATGCTATCAGTGATTTTCTTTAGGTTGGTGAGACTACACATTATAATGTCCTGCACATGTAGGTAGCATGTATCTCATTGGTTTAGAGGATAGTTTTCTCTACCAATCCCAAAGGAATATAGATTTAACTAGTGCAGTCCTGCATTCCTTTTGACACTCAGTACAACATTGCTCCAGGTCATATATTATCTCAGATGTTTTGGTGTGTAGTATCGCTGAGTATTTTTAAAAGTTGTGCCCTATTTTGATGGGCCTGCAGGGCGTGTCAAAATACAAACAAAAGCAATCCAAATAGAGGAGCAGTTTGTGACAGGTCTTGCATGACACTAACCTTAGATAACAGTAAAAAATAAACGATTATGTTTGTTACAGTTTTACGTCTCCAGCTCTTGGACACACAACACAACCATTTTCTTTTGAAGTCCTTGTATGGCTTGCTGATGCTCCTTCCACAAAGTGATGCTTTCACAACCTTAAGAAACAGATTGGACTGTGTACCAAATGGAAGGGCACTACCATCTGACATAAGGTGAACTATAAAGTCAGGTCTCCTCTGTTAAGCACTGAAGTTCATTTTGATCAGGGCCCAACACTAACTTTTTAACTTACTAGCCAAGCGGCTAGTGAAATCTTTCATGTTTTGACAGTTTCAGTTTGTTTACCAGCCAAACTGGCTTGTGGAAATAAAAAACCACCAGCCAAAACTGAATTTCTACTAGTCAGTGGCTAATAGGCTATGGTTAGTGTTGATCCCTGACAATTCTGGGACCATGTTTAGGGTATGTTATCAGTTCTTGCCCTAAGTTGGCAGAGATGATAAACCTTCAGACAGGGCTTGACACTAATGGTAGCCCACTAGCCACAGACTAGAAGAAATTCAGTTTTGGCTAGTGGTTTTCAATTTCCACTAGCCAGTTTGGCTAATAACCAAACTGAAATTATTGTAACATCTAAAAATATCTAAGATGTCACTAGCCACTTGGCTAGTAAGTTGAAAAGTTAGTGTCGAGCCTTGCTTCAGAGATGTCAACTTTTTAGATTTTTTTTTCTGAGCCCCTTCCCACTATGTATCTGTAACTTGACAGTCACCCCCTGTTAATGATGTCTACTGCCACCTGCATTTTCAACCAATGTTATTTTGGATGTAAACTGTTTGTGAGAGGTACCGTGGCCTCAAGGTGAGACTGATGTACTTCAGGTCAGGACACTTGACTCTGTCACCCAGTTTACCTTTCTCCATCCCATTGTAGAAATAGGTACCTGAAAAAAAAATGCTGATGGATGAAGGGGGGGGGGTGGTGAGTAACCTGCAATGGACCAGCATCCCATGCAGGGGGCATGGCAACACTTCTAGTTGCTTCATGCTACAGAAATCAGAATAACCCCTGCATTTGCCATTTTGGCCAGTGTACAAATTTTGCCTTTTTTCAAGGATTGTAAGACAGCCTCAATGGTGCATGGTTGACTCTGTTGTTTTTATTTCAGTGATACTCATGGTGCCCATGACTTTCCATTGCGCGAACATGTTCAAAGAATAAATTTCAAGGAACTCCTACACCAGTTCAAGACTGTACAACAGAAACATTTTATAAACAAACATTCTCGCTCTCCACACTTGGCTAAGAATTTGTTGAATATGTAGATATTTTGACAGGTTTTTTTTTATAAGAACGTGCAAAAAAAATTACAAATTTTATTTTGAAGTGTAAAATAATGTCATTTGTTAATAAAGATCATTGATTGCCAATGTAGCTGGATAAAATATTATTAAAAAGATTATCCTTTTTAGAACCCAGTTGTTTTGAAAGACAAGTGTATTTTGATGTTTTACCACATTAAGACTGTCATGAGACATTATTATATGGCTATGTCTCACAAGGACTGGGAACTACTGAATTCACAAGTTTGATTGGCTGAAATCAATATTGAAAGCGGTCTAGATTTTTTCATCTAGACCGGCATCTAGATCGGTCTAGAAAGAAAAAAAGGTACAAAGAATATAAAAAATTAGCACGGCCATACAATAAACATCTTATTAACCAAGCTAGGTCGGTCTGTAGGGGAGAATATTGACCTTGGTTTCTGGTACAGACCTCACTGCGTTCGGTCCGCACTGGTGACCTTGGTCAAGATTCTCCCATACAGACCTCCTGCTTGGTTGATAACAACTAATTATTAACCCTTTAAACGATCTTAACATCAGTTTGCAAGTTCTCCATTCATTTCTGATGGTAAATACAAGCAGGGCTGTGGTCCAGCAGTGCCTGGGGGCCCCTGGCACTTTACTTTTGCTCTTAGGCGACTCAGGAATCTAATTTTTTTCATAAAAATCATATGCTGGGCACCCTGCATTTTACAGTTTCAGAGCACTGGGCTCCCTTCAACTTTTCTTAGAACACAGCCTTGACAAGGAGCATTTGTTGAACAATCAAGAACTTTTTGAGTTTGATATTGCTGGGAGAAGTCAGATGCTCATAATTCTTAGGGGTTCCTGACCAGTCAAGCCAAAAGGTATTGAGAGTAGCATCTAATTAGTTTTAAGAGGTAGAAATCTTACAAAGGTTCTGCCTCTAGTCCAACATTTACAAATGCATTATTTACTACGCTTGTTCAGTCAAGGTAACTGGATATTAGCAGAGTTCTTTTTTGCATTTTTATGGACCAAGACTAAGTGAAGGTCCATAAAAATGCGAACAAACAAAAAATGAACTTACCGTAAAGGATTTATTACATAGCAAAAAGATTGCACTTTATTAAGAATCAAGAGTGACTTGTTTATTTTGAGAGGCAGGAAAGAAAGCTTACTCTGATTGTAGCACAATAAACCCACGAGAGTGGTTTATGATTTCTTTATAATTATTTTGACTGTCTTCCCCCACTTTTTGTAACTCCATTGTCCAAAAATTTTGAAGACTTTAAGTCTGCACCACCTGATTTTTTTCTTGTGTGGAATCTAAAAGGGCAATCCTAAGTGGGTACCCAATCAGAACATGGGATTTGTTTGATAAAAGACCACTTATAGATTGATAAGTTAATGAAACCAAAGTACATGACACATAAAGCACAAAGCAACAATAAGAGTAGTACAAATCAGTGTGGATTTCAAACCATTTATCAATTATTCAGGCACCCCTCTCATCAAGTCAAGTAAATTTATTTTTTGAAACTTCCCAAAATTTCTTCAGTCAGTGAAAGTGTTTCCTTACAAAAATTACTAAATTTGCCCCTCAGAAGATACAGTGTAGAAGGTTAGCATTTGACAATTATAAGCTGATGTCAAGTAAAAGTCACACAGCTGTTAGTATTTACATTGTCATTCAAAGTGCTCTTAGTTATTTGATAGTATCAACAAAGAACAGGTCCATCTTCTTTCTTCAATGATGATCAGCAGCCATGACATATCTTAGTCCACAATAGCCACAAGGGTGAGGTCCTTCCTGGTCCTGCAGCACATCAAAATTCATTTATTAATGTTGTGTTGTGCAATCTTTACAGAATTCTAATTATGGTAAACATCATTAAAAATCTCCAGTAGAGGGCCATGTGTGACAGTGTGAGCAGGGCTGGATAGCCCACAGCCTTGCAAAATGTAGGATAACTTAGTGCTTGAGAAGATAGGAAAGAGAAAAAGTGAGCCAGTCAATAAGTATGGTATGGTGTGATAAGCAAACAAACATTATCCTTAGACCTTGCCACATTAACATTAAAAAAACTCTCAGTTTAGTAAAAGGATATGAATCCCCTTAATAGTTAATTGAAAATGTAAGAAATTAAAAGCAGGCATGGAAAACTGTGATCTGACATTACCATAAAAAAAAAAACAGCAAATAAAATTTGGAAAATATCTCATTCAGATTCTATGCCTTACAATCTTTCCATGAGTGAAATAGTTGTACCGGTAATGCAAGAGCTTATCCCATTAACAGATCCCACCTCAAGCAGGGAAGCTTATTTCCTTTTCAAGAGATGGCATCCCTCCCAATTTGAAATATGAGGTCCTGAATTCATTCACAGGTAAACCTTCACCCCATCCTACCTCATTCCCTTAGTAAATTTCTAGCCAAATTTCCTTCCACACTCCTGATGGGAGAGGGGGTGTGATCACAACACAACACTTTTACATGTAACACACTGAGGTTTGTTTTAACTCACAAACATAAAGTTTGCACATAATAATGTAATTCCTACCAAGTTGATGTACACCTTAGGATGTCCAAGAGGTCCTCCTCCTAATTTTGAAAAAAATTAATCTATAGGTTGTCTAAGTTTGACAGTAAATATCTTGTTCTGCCTCCCAAAAAGTAAAAACATTAAAAGCTTTAATGAAGGTGAACAGATACATATGACAGAGGAACAACCAAAACAAATCAGGTGTGTGTGGCTGGAAATGATTAACAAAGTTTTTAAGTGAACAGGCTGAGTTTTTTTAATAATAATAATATAATAATAAATAGATGCTTATAGGGTGCATTTCTAATCTCAATGCGCCTAACAACAGATTATTTAGACTTAAGAATAAGTAATTTATTAACAGTAATGTTTTTTAAACAAAAATGTCTTAAGCCCAGTTTTGAATGTTTCTACTGTTTCCGCTCTTTTAATATATTCGGGAATTGAGTTCCATAGTTTCGGTGGAGACAAAAGTTTGCCAAGTTTTCTTAGGCATCTGTTAATTTCAAGTAATGCAGAACACATGTTCAACAAGTAATGTAAGACATGCTATTAAATTGATTGTGAAGTATGATCATTTTATAAAGTATGGTCCTGAAAAGACTGTTGTGGGTAACAGTGAATGACAGAGACCTCCCTGAAACACCAGTTTGATACCAACAGCAGTCCTTATTTGCAGCCCTCTTGGCAAGGTTTCCTTACAATCTAATACTTTCTTATGCATGCAATTCAAGGATAAAAAATGGCAACAGTTATTATTTACCCTTGGTCCTACGACCTCATCTTGACATGGGGTCGCAAAAATCAGAAATATTTCCAAATAACCTCATAATATTCTCAGACAAAGCCACAGTCCCACTGGCAAACTTTTGTTTTCGCCAAGAACTGTATGCATACCAAGGATGGGTTTGTGCAATGATCTTGCCCAAAAATCTTTTCCATACTCTCACTCACGCGATCAGACCACACAATTTGCGATCACTACTCGGTTAAAACCATATAAAGCAGTAAAACAAGAGAAAAAAATCTGACCTCCATCACACCATACATGACGCCCATGAATTTCCTTTGGTGGTTCTTCTGCGACAAGGTCAATAGCAAACTTTTCATTTACCTATACGTAAGCGAAATTTAGAACTTAAATTTACATGATAAACTGCATGTGTTTCAATATAAATGAATACTACACTGCCATTGCATGTATGATCTAAATGTACTCTGATGAATACCACCAAGTTAGCTTTTTTCTAAGTTAAAGCTTGCCTTATAATGCCTTGCTGTAAAAAAATGCCTTACCTCCTTTGGCCTGTCTGTAAAGCGGGCCATTCTGTAGTCGCTTGGTCCCCATTGCTACAAATTTTGGGGGAACATTTTTAACAATTAACATAAGTTAATGCTCACAGCAATCATAATTTTAATTTGTTATAAAAATTTTTGTCAGTGCCATGATTACAACGAAATCCTTAATCACCTGTCCAGTGTGAGTCACTTTATCTGGAGTAGCAGAATTTGGGGCGGAAAAGTGGAGGGCCACGACGCAACGGAAGTTGTTCCGAACAAGTAATCGTCGAGAAACAACTCTCAAGGGGGCCGCCATTTTGACCACAGGAATCCCACAATGCTGTTCGTTACTCTGAAGCTAGTCATGTAAGGGTCAGCGGTATACTGCAATCAACAACAACATGGCGGACAGGTCGGTAGATAGGAAAATAGATAGAAAAAGAGAAAAAGGCGAAAGGAAAGAGGAGAGAAAGAAGAGGAAACGCAGTGAAAATGAAGAAATAGAACTTGCCAAACACTATGAAACATTGTAAGGGAAAAATCTCTTAAATTTGTCTTTAGATAAATTGGGAACGCAATATTGTGATCATGTACATGAGATATGTTGTTAGGCTAGCAAATTATCTGAAAAGTTTTTAAAAATCCATTCAGTTCAAACGGCATCTATATTTACGTGTTATTATGACTGTGCTTGCATCTATAGCTATGAACAGCCACCCCCTGGGATCATAAAGGTAAGAGCCTGGTATCTAACAAATTCTGATTTGTCTTAGCTTAGCTCATTGCCCTGGAATATAAGCACATTAGTGAATGCTCCCTTAGGTGAACTCTAATGTAAAATTTCTACATGCCACCATGTTCATTTCAGACAGTTGGGATCAAAGAGTTTCCCCCTTGTGACATTTTAGATATGGTCTACACAGTTTTGTAATGATATGTGATTTGTTGACAGCTTGCCTTATTCAGTAATCTGCCTAATGAAATAAGCAGTGATTTTATTGCTCAAAAGATTTGCCTCCAACATGACTTGTTGAATGTTTTTTACAACACAGAACAACACAAAACAGTTTTTGAGAATGTTCTACATGGGTTTTTATATTGCAGAAGGTTAACTTGACAGGAAAGTGCAAACCTGCCATCAGCCATGTTGCAGCATTACTGCACCAAACAAACTTTACAACCCAATGATAATGAATAGTGTACAGAGTATCTAAAATGTCTGGTATAATACCTTATCCAAAGTTAGCCTTTGCAACTCTGTTTGGTAATTTAGGGATACAAAATTCTGATTATTGTGATTGCTCCTTCTCAACTAGGAGAAAGTACAAAGTTAGCCTTTGCGACTCTGTTTGGTAATTTAGGGATACAAAATTCTGATTATTGTGATTGCTGCCTTCTCAACTAGGAGAAAGAGGACCTTCCAGAGGAATGTATACCTGATTTACCTGAAAACCAGGGTGCACGAGATTTTCTTTCTCATGCCCCCACTAAAGGCTTGTGGATGCCACTTGGAAAGGAGGTCAAAGTTATGAAATGTGAGTTATATTAGAAACTTAATATTCTTGAATGAGTGTATGTGTTGTAGTTCAATTTTATCCTTGGTTCAAATTTTATTTTCCTTTGTTTCAAACTCATTATCATACATTAACATGACCGAGAAAAAAGGAAAATAAAATTGAACCAAGTTATAGAATTGAACTACAACATATATTACATTACAAGGGTTTATTTTCTCATGAAGTGGGTGATACAGTATCATGCAAAGCAGGTATTTCTGTCTCCCTTTCATCCAAGTAGGGAAAGTGTTAGCCCTTCATTCCCTTCCTAACCTCCCTCCCCCCTCTTCCCACTAATGGCTGTGTGGCCAAAACAGGTAAAGCGTGGGGATTTATTTGGCAGTCTTTGTTTTCATCTCTCAAGTGTTACTATGTAGTTATTGACTGAGTGGGGGGGCCAGACAAAAAATATTCGGCTGGCGGTCATAACATGCAGACCTTACTGCATTGGTCCTTGCCCTATGATCAAAAACCAAATATTTTCCCATTTGGCCCAACCAAACTCAGTTGATGAGTATTTTATCATATGACCACTAAGTGTTGAAAATTTCAACCTTAATTGAACAAGATAGACAGGTACATGCAGGCACACAAGCACAAGAAAATTTTGATATGAGGACAGCAGAGTGGCATGGCTTTTTCAGGATGGGTTCATGCCAACCTGTGCAGCCCTGCACATGTCAGCTTTCACTATGGTTTTCTTTGGGATTGTGCAAGCGGGGCCAGACAGGTCATATGATAATTTGACATCTTTGGCCTAGTGAGAGAGGCGGTGGCTCAACAGTTGGTGAGCTGGACTCTGGATCGAGAGGTGCCGTGGGATTTTTGGGCAAGAGACTTAACTTTCATAGTGCCACTCTCCACCCAGGGGTGTAAATGGGTAACAACAAACTGTCAAGGAAACCTGACAAATGTTGGGGGGGGGGGTGGATAACCTGCAGAGAACTAGCATCCTATAGAAACCCGAATAAGCTCCATACCCACTTACTTGGCTTTAAAATTTGAATGATCCCTTATATAGGTTGGCGATGTAAAGCCTATGGTCACAGGACAGGTGACAGGGAGTGTCCCATGTTTATCAGTGGCAACAAAAACAGTGAAAAGTTTCGAATGGTGAGATCTTGTTGACTTAACGAGGTACCAAATATTACGAAAGGTACATGGAGGTGAAAGTGACAAACTACTATTAAATAACTATATATTAGGGTCCACTGCAAATGCTTTAATCTGATTGGTTTCACAACTCACTTTGTAGTTTTTGATGATGAAATTCAGTGAATAACTTTTCAGTAAACAGTTGTAAAGATTAAAAAATGAAGGCACAAGCCTGTTTTGTTGTCAGGTTTTAAATTGCTAGTAAGTTTTGAATGACTGTTGATTATCTGTTAATTATGTACATTTTGTGTACCCTAATGTAGATAAATTTTTGATATACAAATCAGGCACATGAAGACCCAATGCATGAGTTTATTCAAGATAAAAAGAGAGCAGAAAAAGAAAGCAGGTAGTATACTGTTTTGGGCCTTGTGTACACTCAGTGATGAAGTTTATCCATTAATTTTTATTACCGAATGGAATATTTCAGAGCTGTAGTCACTTGGCTTGATGTGACATTAGATGTACTGTCTTGTGAATAACCCACCATCATTTTGTATGGCTGCCCTGAAAATTGTCGTGGTGTGAAGAGGTGCTCTGTAGATTGAATATATCTCAGTCTTGCTGAAGATTTTTAAAAATGAAACTACTGGTATACAGTCAACCCTTGGAGCCCAAATGGTGACCAGCATCTGATTTCTCCTTACAATATCACCCCTGAATCACACTTTAAGGTCAGGAGAATAAAGGAAATGATCACCAATTAAAGAAGCTCTTGATTCACTGTTAAACTGATTCTCCTTGTTTACTTGAACAGAATGGAGAAAATGCATACTGATGTTAAGGATGTAATGGAGAATTTCCTTAAATTGTTTTTCATGCCATTACTATACAAAATGTTATGTACTCAGCAATGTCACATCACTTCTTGCTGGTGTCAATTTTACAACGTTTCATGACTTGTAATGTCACTTTACAATGTCACAACATGACATGTCACTGTATCAGGTGATGACACTTCATCATACCAAATCAACCCAAAAATAGATTGCAGCTTAAGTTGGTCATTTTAATTTTTTTTTTTTCAGAATACAACAGCTCAAGGCCTTACTTGAGGAGTCAACAACAAGTGAAAGTGATTTAGAAAAAAGCAGCGAAGACTCAAGTGATGAAGACAGAAAAAAAAGACATAGAAAATCCAAGGTGAAACGTAAACGGAAAGAGAAGAGTAAACATGGACATAAACATCGGAAGTTATCGAAACATAACGACGGTGATAGAAGGGAAGATGATTCAAGGGAAAAGAAGGAGAAGAGATGAGATTTTTTTAGGGTAGGGGACATAGCATGACATGCGTTATCAAGTTATTATCATTTGTGAAAAGGCACGTGAGTATATTTGTTGTAGCCTACTGTACCACTCCCGTTCATGTTCAGTGTGTTATACCCGAGACAGGAACGGTGGTCCGTGTGTGATCATGTCAAGAAGAGGCTTTTGGAAAACACATTAAATGTGATCCCTTCACCTTGATGGAGTAAAGCCCTGTACGCCAATGCAAATGAATCTGAGATCACATCTGCTATTTCCCAAGAGTTTACGGTCCCAGATAAAACAAACATTTCCAGAAACGGCTCTCCCACTCAGCCAGTTGGTACATGTGGATATTAACTTGAGGGTCAGTGTCAAAGAAACGACGGAAACGTTTTGAAGAAAGACAAAAGTTTAATCCCGCAGTATTACCTAGTCAACTTAGCTACCCATTATTACACATCTTATGCTTACAGAATTCAGTCTCTACCGACGGAACACACTCATTTCCTGTCATACGTTCAGTATACCACACTACTGGTGCCAGCTCGAGCAACCTCGTTCCCAGTCCCCAGCTAAGAGAAAAGGAAATGGGAACGAGGTTGCCAGCTCGAGAAATGTGAACCTGTTAAACAGTTGTGGGATGAAGGCAGGCCACTTGAAGCCCACCACTTCAAGTAAAGCAAACATCCTCTGTTGAGATCATTTTCCATCAGTTCCCTTTCTGTGTAACCATGGCAACAAATTCTGCAAGTGAAAAATCGTTTTTAGTAAAGATAGATTTGTTTATTTCTCGTAGACGAAACGATTCGCAATAGGCCACCGTAATGATTACAAAAGCTGACGTTTCGAGCGTTAGCCCTTCGTCGGAGCGAATAGAGGAATTGTGGGTTGTGTGTGCTTTCAAAGGCAGAAAATGGAGCAACGTTATTGGTGGGAACATGGCAACGAGAAAAATTTATTCTTGTTTTTCTCGTTGCCATGTTCCCACCAATAACGTAGCTCCATTTTCTGCCTTTAAAAGCACACACAACCCGCAATTCCTCTATTCGCTCCGACGAAGGGCTAACGCTCGAAACGTCATCTTTTGTAATCGTTACGGCGGCCAATTTACCATTTCAACTTTGTTGATATATCCAAATTATTTCGTTACTCCCACCGACGCAGCCCCAAACAGTTTCTTTCGAAACTATCAGCCTTTATGATTCGCAATAGGGTTAGTTTACAGGTTTTCGAAATATAAAATATTTTAATCGTCCGTGCCGTAAACTGCTAATACAAGAGCAATATTTAATAATGAAAGGGAATAATTATATGAATCCTCTAGGGTACCAATCGACTCCAAATTGTTATCACAAAGATCCCCTGAGAAACGCAGATAAAAATAAGCAAACTGGCTGAAACGCGGAAAAAAGCAAGGGACGAAGTCCCAATGTTTTAGTGTTGTATCTGATTGTTTGAGAGAATGGTACAAATCTCATGGACCAATCACGGAGTAGGGTGCAGCAAGAGCAAGCAAACCCGGTTTACATTCAAGATAAAGTTGAAAATTGCGTTAAAAGCGCGGAGAGTTAATGAATAAAGAGGGGCCTGGGAAAGAGGTTAACTGAAAGCTCGGCTCCAGTCCTGCACTCAGTCAAGTACCTTTGTAACTGACTTTTCCATCGCTGTCCGTATCAGCCTCCTTGATCATGTCATCGATTTCTTTCTTTGAGTAGGTTTTGCCACCAAACGTTTTCATCACCAGTCCCAGTTCGTCACTAGTTATGAAACCATCTTCATTTGTATCAAACTTCTTGAAGTAGTACTTGAGGTCATCACCCGTCATCGGTTCTCCAATTTGGCTGGCCATCATGTCTTCAAACTCACTATATTCTACTTTACCATTGCCTAGAAGAGAAATGGAAAACAAGATTAAACCGTCACAGAAGGACCGCTGACCGCTAACATAACTTGTAATGGCGCGGTATCGAACACGTAAAATCCACCTCAATACAGTTGAGGAAAGTTAACACATTACTACTGAGATCGTAATATTCTGCAATAGGACAATAGTGTTATCCCAGTTTTTACACATTTATACACGTTTCTTCCTCCTTCCTTTTTAAAATTAGGGAGAGAGCGATTTTGTACCATTGCGATCCACTGCTTTGATCATATCTTTAATATCCTCGATTTGCATCTCCTGTCCAGCTTGCTTCATAGCTTCACCTAACTCCTCCACCGAGATATGCCCATCACCGTTTTTGTCGAACAGCTTAAAAGCTGCCGTTATTTCTAGAAAGAAAGAAAGGTCAAGTAACATTACGAAATTTGCCAGGAGAGATAGGTTATCTTAAAGAGTGTATTGTCGACCAATAGATGGGATGGTAACACTAATTCTGGGTCGAGTCACCACTTAGAAGCTTTTAGCCGTATCTTTTTATCTCAGTTTACCAATATTTTTTTTTTGGGGGGGGGGGGAGATGGGGGAATAGGCATTAAAAGGTCACTTCGAATAGGTCCTTAAAAAAGAATGTCGGGTAGATCGTAGAGCATCAGGCTTCTCCTCTGACTTACCGCGGGCTCAAAATTTTAAATTGTGATTCTAAATTACTACTTTTCTTTTTACATTTCTACAAACCTCACCTTCACGCTGGGCTGCAGTCAATCGTTGAGCCTATCATTTAAAAGAAGAAAGAAAGCTTAGCATTTATTTCAGTTTTTTCACTGTCATGTTTTGTTACAGAATTTCTTTCACCAAAGCGGCTTGTAATTATAATAATCCGACCACCTGCTAATGAAAGTATTACAATATTGTAAACGTTTTCAACAACATTAGGTGCTTCGCTCTGGAACAATATTTAGACACGGCAGCTGATAATTGATCTATTGGAAGGAAATGATTCCACTAGCGCCTTGATGTTGCTCGTTAAATGAATTGTTCGCGTTTCGTTCAAGAAAGCCATTTGCACTTTGTTCCGTCTCCGCTGTGAGCCTGAATAAGGCTGAAATAAGGTATCAAAAGATGTACGTATTAAATTTAATGACGCAGCAAGTACTCGAGACCTCTCAGGACCACCTAGGCCTTTTTCGCATTTGATTTATACTACTTTGTTATTAAGAGGTGAAAATATCTTTAAAAAAATTGTTGTGCCAGGTTTTTCGTGTTTAAAGGTTTTAACTATGATGTTAGTAATTTTTCTCTAGAATGCTCTCCAGAGTGCTCTAGAAATCGAAAATCTAACCATTGTTTGAAAATCGTTTTCCGTGTTTCGGTTTTGAATATTTTGAACTGATTTGCTTAAAAAAGGCAAACAGCTGAAAAATGGGTGATAATGAAGACAATTTAATTTGTTTCCCTGTGCCTTCCTAGAATACAGTATGGTACGAACATTAATTATTAACCAAGGGCAATAACGAAAACTGTTAGTCAATATTTTCCATCCTTTTCATCTCTGGTCGGTGAAAATGTATTGTGGCCCAATACAACGCGAATCACCGGAAATGGACTTCCGCATCCGCCAGTAATTTAAAATTTGAAATTCAAAAATTTAAACCTCTTTTCAGTGAAAAATCTACATTATTCTGGGGCAAATTTACTTTAAAAATGATGTTTTTTGGGTTTTAGACTAATACCTTAAGCTTTAATGCCAAATTAAAATAGAAAGCCAATTTCCTACTTCAATTTTCGGACAATTCTGGCCATAAATGCATGACCGCCTTTGTTTCGCATTTTTTTTTTTCACTCTGAATTATGGAAAAGGATACAGACATTATGCACATTCTCTTTCATTCATGTGTCAAGACGGGTTTATTTTTTTCGTTGTATAAATTCAATCCACCATGCAAGAAAATCACATCAACAAGGTAAACGGACTGGGCTTGATTCAAACATTAACAAGATTCACATCTTGCGCCGCTCCCTGGTGCAAAATTTGTCAGTTTCCAGGGCTTTTAATAATCCGGTTTGGTTCAGCGCGCTGTAGTCACGATCAAGATTTTGAAAATATCATCCGTATGTTTGCTAATGACTTTCCACAACTATAGATTTGAAAAAGACACTCCCACTCGAGCGAGCATCAATGATACCGGCCTTATAGCCAGAAATGAAGTTCTATTATTGAGTGTTTTCAATTTCACGATAACATACTGCGAATTATCTTCGTTTTCCACTCCTTTTCTTTTTGTTTCATGAAATCAGCGACTGCTGTAGGTGGCGCAAACAAGCAAGGACGCAGCGGCACTATATCTAAAACTTGAACGTGAGTGAATTGGACATCATCGAGGCCATAGTGTACTTAGATCTGGAGTTACTGGATTTATAGGAAGCATAAATAACATACATTCAAAAAATGACATATATATATATATATGTATGTATATATTTTCCTTTAAGGCGACTTACCATATTGACAGGAAAGTGTAAACCAGTTCTTGGTCAAAGGAAATGGGTAGAAAATTAATCGAATATTTTTTCCTTCGACCCTGATGCAATCGACAGTAAAATACAGCCCCGAATAAATAACCTCAGCTTAGCTGGGTAGTTTATACCAAATTATGCGTGCGAACAAAAGGTTTCCTGCCAGCGAAAAGCGTTTGAAATATGCATGAATTTCACCTGTGTAACGCGCACATCTGTCACTTCGAACCAATCTTTGGAAACGCAAACAAATGATAGAGAAAAATCCTTATTAATCCCGAGAGATCTTGTCAAGTTTAATTAATACGACTGTTGTAGATGCCAGTTAGCATTGCCAAAAAAACAGGTATACGCGTTACAAATTGTAAATCAGCAGATAATGGTAACAATGTTGCTTCTATCGATGCGACGGAAAATATTTTAAGAAATTAAAGGCACCAGACATTTTCGCGCGTGCTTTGTGTTCAAGAACACTCACTCAGGTAGAAAGAAACTGGTCTGCTTCTTGCATAATTTGGCCCAGATAGCACATGAATTATTTAACTGCTTAAGTGACTACAAAACACTCGAGTGAGAATAGAAGGTAGCATAGTTGAGACTAATGTGCAAAAATAGGGAAGTACTCAGAAATTTCGATGGGCCTCAGATCGTTGACAAAATTGATTTAAATTCTTGCTGGGCTATGGATGATACACTCCATATTCCTCAGCGGCGGGATCGCCTACTTCACTTTTCATATTTTTATTTCCGCCCTTAAAAAAGATCTGTCAGTATGCAAATCATCGCTAATCTTTTTGGCAGATCACCTGATGTTGTTTTTTAAAAGATGAATTTTAAGCTACATTTCTAAACATTATAATACCACAAATGCCAAATAACGCTTTCAATTCCTCGGTCAGGCTAAAATGCTATCGATCCACGAAACGATTTAAATTCAACTTGAACACTGATTGTCGTGCTTGTTTGCTGCCTAAAAAACCGTGACATTTCCTTGGCAGATTTCTTTAAAACTATAAATATTTCACATCTCAATGTCAATGGCACTGAAAAATGGATCGAGCCCAACTTAAGTAGCTCTGCCTCTTTTTTTTCGTTGTAAAATTTTCAGTATAAATGGTTAAAAAGGAGTTGGGATTCTTTGTTGATGAAACCACTGTTCGCTGATCCACTTACAGTAATTGAACATTTTCTCTGCTCGATGTAAAGTTGATGATAGGGACATTTCATTTACATTTAAGGACCTAACAATCGCCAGCTGTGGTCAATGTTTTCGCTATCAAAATATATAGTACACCATTTACGTTTTAGCAAATAGAGGGCTGTTATCAAGATATTCATCTTTCTTCAAATAAAGCGAGCTAGTTGTATTGCCCGCCGTCTAGTTGACAGAATAATTTTATAAGGAATCATCGGGATAAAGTGTGATTGACAAATATTTGTAAAGTTCGAAGTTAGATGTATCAGTGTAAACAAACGAGCAATGTGCCAAATAACCAGCCCGGCACAGAGTTGGCAATATGACATACAGTAGGATAATTATGCATTCGACGCTCAGCTTGGAAATGAGAGAAAATTGAAATTTTTGTGACATTCTGTTTTCGTTGTGCACAAACAAGTGTTACTATGAGTCGAGCATTCCAAGTTATGTGACAGACAGGGCAATGTACAGAAAGGGAAAAAGCTGTATCGTATATCCAGAGGAGGGGGGAGGGGAGGGACAGAAGTCGTGGGGGGTGCGGGGCTTGAAAGAGGCTGTTGGCGGAAAAGAAATTCAGAAAGTGCGAGGATTTGTTTACCTTTAGAACGGTTCTGCGGGAGAGGAAGAGCAGTCATGGCAGGCGAAAAAATTTTTAAGCCTTTCCCCCTCCCTCTTCCCCCCCTTTCGCCAACCCTTCAAGTGTCCAAAAATGATGTCAGTTAAATTTCATATCTGCTTCAAGTTTCGTTGTGCAAACGTACAATCACAACATGGATTTTCCACTATCATTTTAGGATCTCCTGCTGAAGATTCGCAATAACTCGGAGAATTAAGTTTTTTGGAAAAATAAATGGCGACTAGCATTTGCATCAGTTCTCGTCTTGCACGCAAAAACTCCTGAAAGCACAGGGAAGTTCTAAACAGTTCATACAAACTGTCAAGCCCCATTTGTTAGTATATGTGTGATATATGATGAAAGCATTGAAATGAAACCATCAAGTCTGACTGTGTTGGCTGATTGCAGATCACTACTTTAGTTCCGGTAGAAGGGTAAATTTATACAATTTTCGCCTGTCGTTCTTTATCATCAGAGGTGTCCATTCTTCGCAGGCCTATTTCCCTTAGCCTCGCAATGCAGCATGGGCTTGATAATTTGCACGTGCGCAATGGTGGTATTGGATATCAACATGGCGGACGGAAGACGGGTTATCAAGATGGTTTCAACCTTTCGAAGACTTCTTCAAAATGCAGTAAAATCTTGATTTTACTTAAAGACCTTTTTGGTAACCTACGTAGACCTCTTATCTGCCATGGCTCAGTGCACGCAGAGCGCTTTCGAGTTTATACAGAACGCTTTTTGCCCTATGGTTGCCGTTATGTGCAGTGAAGATGCCCAGAAGGTCTGCGAGAAAAACAACTTGAGTTTTGTGGAAATGGTGCGTCCATTCTGCCATCTAACAAGTGAAGGTAATAGAACGAGGACAATTGTATGCTATACCTTATCAGGTTACCGTTCGTCGTAGCTGTTACAAATGTATGAGATGATACCTCAACTTTTTTCCGTTTCGATTAGATAGGATTATGGCAGGCGGGTGTACATTTACGTAGCGTAGACGGAAGCGGTTTAGTGATGAAAAGTTACATTATAAAAAATTCTATCGATCAGAAACAAGAAACGTATTCTTATTTTAATGACAAGTCCTACAATCTTTGATCGGTTAGAGTGCGATCTGATTGAGCAATGAAATCGCTTGTTAAACAACTAAATTAATACAAAAATATTAATTATAAATCTCTTGATCTGTCAATTACAACAATGCTGTACAACAAGTTCAGCTGATAAGAATGTAAGCTTTTTGTATTGGGAAGAAAGTTATATGATTTAAATTTTTAATTTTTTTAAAAAGTGTATGTACTCACTAGAGTTTTTGGTAAAGGTAACAATACTTTATTTCAGAACAACATGCAAATACATAATTATTAAGAAAAAGGAAACCCAGAGGTTGGCCCTATATCAAGGGTCTCCTATTTATGTAAAAAATCTTACAGAACTAGTGAATAAAAATATAAAAAAGTCAAATAAGAAACAGCTAAATATCAATTATAAAATGACGATTCAGTAAATATTCATATGTTTCTTCAATTTTGATTTAAAGAGTTTTATTGTTACAGTAGCAACACTGAATCCTCAATGTTTTCAAGGATGCTTAGAATGAGAATTTTGCAAGTCTTAGCCTTTGTAGATTTTTCTGATTGTCCTTGTTCAGCAAAAAGAATTTCTTTCAGAAAATAAATCTGCAAGGCAAAAAGCTGCAAAAATTTATGACCCTCAATCAATGTAACATGGCAGGAGAGGCAGCTGTCAAGAAATATATGGCTTGTTTTCACCACATTTGAACTAAGTGTCCTGATGTTGTCCTCCATGTCTTTTGTTTTTGCCCCCTAAGCTTCTGTGCATGCTGTTTATAATCAAAATAGAGATTCACCTAAACGTTATCAGTAAGAACCAAAAATCTTCCTATCTGGCCAGACCCTATTCAGTTTTAAGAATTTTAGCTCTTTTGCTTTTGTCCCCCCAAGCCCCCATGCATGCTTTGTATGATCAAAATAGAGATTTACCTATGCCTTATCAACAAGAGCCAAATATCTTCCTATCTGGCTGGACCCTATTCAGTTTATAAGTATTTTAACCCTGTAAGTTGTAAGATCCAAATAGGATTTCTCCTTCCTGACAGCTAGACAATTCCTTGCTAATAAGACTGGGACATTTCACTTAACAACAGCAAAACACTCTTGTTGATTAGCTTTTCTATTCTCCTAACCTGTTTGCAATATATCACATCAGAATGTTAAGGAGAAGTTACAAATCAATCACCTCTGGGGTTTAGTGGGTCAGCGTATGACTACCTTTTTTTTTGTGCCGGTGTCCAATCGCACCTTATGAAGGGTTTTCCAGCTTGTTATAGGTCCTTTAACACCCTTGCTTATGGGCATTACCTGTATATGTGTAATATTTTACTTTTAGCGCAGGGCATATTGGTAAGAAAGTAATATTTCTTAATTAATTATTGAATATTTAAATGGTTGATTTGTGATAATTTGATTCCCAAAGATGAACAAATGAATACATTTGCAGATTAGCAATAATCGTGTTTTTACTGATGTTTTGTATATTTAGCGCATATCAGAGATCCGTCTGGTGTGATCCATCCTGTGAAAAACTGGCATATCCGACTGGTTGAAATGTCTGCCACTCACCCACCTCAGCACGTTGTGAACAAATTGTTGAGTGAAGTTGTATCACGGACACAGCCTCTTAACCCTGATCCCAGCTCTCTGTCTCCTGATGCTCAGGCAAGAGGTGAGCTTTACTCAAATATTTCACAATTGTTCTGCTAATTTTACTCCCATGGCCTGAAATTTTCAACAAGGGATGGTCATTCATTCCTTTCCAGTATATTTACAAGAATTTGGCAATGTACCTGAACGATCAATTTTTTATGTGAACAATATCTCTATTGTGACCTCATGCCTGCATATTTCATGGTACATTAAGACTACACTCATGAATAGATTACTGATCATTCTTGGGGGTTAGAGATGTTCTAGAATTATAGTTTTTGATAGAGTTGTGGCTATATTTGTATTATCTTTATCTGATAGGTTCCGCCCCTTGGTTTGAAGCCTTCCGTGACTGCTTTTTTCAGTTGGTGAAACCATCTGACCACGAGTTTATTAGACATTTTCTAGCCTGTATCCTTTCAAGGAAACATTTTTGTTATAATCTCTGATATTGGCTCATGTGTTTATTACCAAGTTGGATTCTTGTCGCTGATGAATGCACAGTATATACAATTTGTTTTTTGTTTTGATAATCTGATTATGTTTGGTGGTCTTCTTTTTGAAATCTTTGACCATTACAGAATAAATATGACTGCAGAGTTAGTTGCCATGTTCTCTCAGCGTCTTCTTTAGAGGGCTTTAAAAATTATTAAAAGCATATTTATCTTGTTTCCGTCTACAACTAATATAAGTGATAGTCAAAGTCCAATTTTTTTTCATACCTCAATGGAGGATAGAGATGAAAATGATTTTCTTTGAATTGCCACAAAAATGCGCTGATTGAAATAATTCTAATTTCTAGGGGGAATTATTTTCAGTTCATTAATTAAACAATAGAGTGTTTCTGTCAAGGAACTATCGGCTGATAGGTGCCCCGCGCAAATTTGATGTTCTTAAAACGAATGTTTGGCC